GAGGGAGGACAGAGACAGCTATGGACATCCCTGAGTTCCTGGAGCCTTGGGGGTCAGCACTCGTCCCACACTTCCCAGTCATCCCAATTCATCTCATCCTTGCTTCATCTAGTTCTACTTGGATTTCTGTCGCTCTGCCAATATGCGCTTCTTTAAGGAGTTTGGTAGAGTTGGGAGGAGACACAGTGCTGGTGGGAGCACATTGGCTCTGGAGACGATAGCCCTGGGGTGGAATGTTGGATCCCCATCGTGTGACCTTGGGCAAGGAACTTGGCCTCTCCAGGCACTGCGGCCTCATCAAGACGGTGCCCGCCCAGGTGGTTGTCATCAGGGTTAAATGAGACAGGCCTGGAGAGCACTGAGCCTGGGGCCTGGCCGATGGTGAGCGCTAACCGCAGCTATTGTTAATGAGACCTAGAACAGCCACTTGATGGAGAGGCGGGGACAGAGAATTTGTTTAAGATGGAAGAGATGCTGGGTTTGCAGCGTGAATGGAAGGAACAAGAGAGGAGGCTAGATTGAAGATTCAGGAGCAGGAATGACTGATTGAGGGAGCGAGGTTCCGGAGGAGGTGAGGTGGGAGAGGAGGGTTGGGGAGGAGACTGAGAGCACAGTGATCACTGACAGGCACACACAGCCCTTTATCACGAAGTAGAGGCAGCCCCCTCTGCCCGTCACTCACGGCCCAGGAAGCGCCAGGGCTTGTCAAGAGAACCGAGTGTGTATCCATGCTGGGGATGAGACAGGAAGGAGGGGACTGGGAGTGGAAAAGGGACACGGCAGGGTGAGCTCCCCCTTCCAGCCCCAGGTCACCGCTTTCAACTAATTCAGCCCAAGGTCACATAGGAGACAGTGGCCAAGGCCACTTAACACCTCACTCCACCCTGAGCCTTGGCCCATTGGACTAGATGCCCCTCATGCAGGCATCAGGCCCATACCTCCTCCGTTGGTGTAGGCTCGATAGGGGAAACGCCAGACGTTCCCCAGGCCTACGCAGTAGCCGATGCAGGACAGCAGGAAGTCCAGCTTGCCTGTCCAGTTCCCCCGGTCTGCGGCAAGGTCCACATCCAGGTCTACATTGCCCTGGTCACTGGGGGTCATCAGCAGGTCTGGGGTGATGGGCTGCCAGTAAGAGAGACCAAAGGGGTGAGGGAGAAGGTGAGGCCAGGTTGAACTGGAACCCCCCAAATAAGAATATGGAATCAAACAGGGCTAAGTGCCAAGAACTCTATTGGTTCAGATAATCAACCGCTCTCACCTGGGCTGACAGGTTAATAGGCAGGAGCTCCTTGGGGTTTCAGGGGACTACAAACTTTTGAGACTAGCAGGGTGGCTCAGGCACTAAGAAAGCCACCTTGATCTTAGTTTGGCTAACACAGAGGTCCATTGAAGGGATGGTCCTATTTTGATGACGACGACGATGACGATCTTAATAACAGTTACCACGTGTGAGCACTTACCACGCACTCGCTGCACTAAACATTTTACTCACATTACCTGATTTCATTCCCAGAACAACTCTATGAGCTAAGTACTCATCTGAGGGAAACTGAGGCTCAAAGAGGTATGATGACACACCCACAGTTTTTGCAAGGCTGGCTAGTGGGAGAACTAGGTTTCCAGCCCAGAGCTTCCTGATGCTGAAGCCCAGGTCTTCAACCACCCAGTGCTGGAGTTCTGCTACTCCATCCTGGGCACCATATTTTAAGAAAGACAGTGGCAGTTTGGAGCATGTGCAGCGACTAGATTGGAGTGTATTCAGGAAAGGCAGTTACAGGAGGACAAGAGGAAGAAGTGGGGCCCCTTAGCATAGAAAGGACGGGGCATGGAGAGAATGTGGGCTCCCCTGGGCTTAGATTTATGCTGTGTGGCTCAAGAAGGCCTTCTGAGGACTGTGAATTTTAGCTCACAAGCAGGAAGAAGCTACTGAAGCCCCAGTCTGCCTCAGAGAGTTGTAATCTTCCTGTCTCTGGAGGAAAGATGCATGCACAGAGGGGAATGGCAACCAGCTGTCCCTAAAGTCCCCTCCTGTGATTTAAGGAGGTCAGGGAAGTCCACTGGGCATTCTCCCTTCAGGCTGGGGCTGGGCGATGGAGGCCTTCCTCCAGGTGCTTGGAACCCTGGCCCGAGAGATGAGTTAGTGTGTCCATGAGCTGTCCAGGCTTAGGGCCGAGAAGGAAGCCCAAAGTCACCAGGATGACTATCTAAAATTCAGACAGCAGTTCCCAGAAGTGACTCCAGGAATGCGGCAGGAGAAAGGGGCAGCTACACCTTTTCTGCTTGCCTCTGAAAGCCATGCCCCGTGGCAGAGGAGGACGGAGCTGCAAAGAGGCCCGTTATCAAATAATGTTCATGGTTTTCAGAGAGGAGAAAGGACCCTCCTGCTTCCTGCTGAGGAACAACCGTGGGGAAACAGTGATTCCACTGGACTGGGCGTCAGGAGACCACGATTCTCATCCCAGGTCTGTGCCAATTCACTGTGCAACTTTAGGAAAGACTCTTTTGAGCCTTGGTTTCCCCATATGGACACTGAGGAGATTGGATAGATCACTAATTCCAAAAACACATCACTTGAAATGTTTGTAGATGTTGGGTGGAACAAAGGATTCTTGAATTTAAAAGTTTGGGGAAAGCTGGGTTATCACAAGGTAAAACAGGCTGCTTTGCTGCAGGACTTGTCAGATCCTTTAATGGACAAATATGCACTGTGACTCTCCAAGTAGGGACTAGAACAGAGAGTATTCTCCAATTCTACTTAAGAAAAGGGTCTCAAGGAGCTAGCATGTCAGGATATACTTGGCAGAAATGCAAGTCTAGATAATCTTTAGCTAATAGTCTTCTGGCTCTGATGATCTGTGAGGCAAGATTCATCAAGGAGACTTCACCACAGTGGTCGAGGACCAGATCAGATCCCAACACAGGGACTCAGCAAATAGCTACTACCCAATTTGCTTTATCCCCTAAAACTGGCCTTCCTGGCACCAGCCCAAGTAGGTGTCTACACACAAATCAGGTGACAGAGGAAACCTTGCTGGGGACTTGTCATATGAGCATTGCTGGGATGAGGATGGTGAAAGCAGAGTCCAAGTGTCACAGGACTGGAGGTGCCTGGCTGCAATGACATGGTTAGGGCAACGGGCTCAGGTGGCAGAAATGTGGTAACAGCATTGGGCTCTCAGTGATAGTGACAACCATGGTGGTGATCCTGCCTGAGGCTGGCTATTGGCCAGAGGGGCAGTGGTGATGGGGGCAGCCTGGCATGATTATGGGTGATGATGACAATGATGAAGAGCATGAAAAAGCTGCTTTTCAAGTAACTGGGCTCCAAGGGTTGAAATATGTTGCTGGTGGTTCTCTGGCTGTGATCTCAAACATGCTGGGGTGAGGATAGCACCAGCTCCTAGACCTGTATGAAACCCACCCCTTACCTCTGATGCCCCTTTCCCCAAGTCTTCCTCTCCAGCTGGGTAAGCATCTGCCCTCTCCCAGGTGAACTCCCTCCCAGGTGAACTCCAAGAGGGATGGGGTAGCAGCCACTTGACACTGGCCCCTAGTGTTGGGTGGGGAGGCAGACCTGTCACCCTGTGACCCCTCCCCTCAGGCCAGCTGGCAGGAGGCCCTGATAATGAGGTTCCTCTGATCCCTCCTGAGAAGTTGCTGCCCTTTCTATGTTCACAGAGCAGTCCCGGCTCTCTGTTTCCATGGTGACAAGAGTTCCAAGAGCAGGATGCTGCCAGCTCTCCCGTCCCCTCCTCCCCCAATCAGAGGGAAGACTGCTCCTGCTCCAGGAGCAGGGGATGGGGTCCTCCAAAGCTGAGCCAGTCCAAAGCCCACGTAGAACCTCCAACCCCACCACGCGGTAAATCCCAGGAGGCTGGCACAGAGAGGACAGAACTAACTGAGAGACCGAGAAAAGCAACAAGATCAATGGGGCAGGGTTGGAAGCTGGATGAGTTGCTTCACACTTCTGCCTGGGTGTGAGGCTCCCACCCCTGATCCCCCCACTCTCCACCCAGAGTCACACAGGAACACACATCTTAGTTTGCCAGACCACACCCCCTCTTTTAGGGGCCAGCAGAGGTAGGTCACCAGCAGTGTCAGGGCTGGGAGAGGTACGACTTCCCAAGCCAAGGCTTTCATACCTCCTTCAGGATGAGAGAGACAGTAGGAATCTGGAGTCTGACTTCATTATTGTGCAGATCAGGAAAGTGAGTTTCAGAGGAGAAGGGGCGAGCCCAAGGTCAAACAGCAAGTTAAGGGCAGAGCAAAGCCAGGACTCAGATCCCTGACCCTCAGTCCCGTGCTCATCTCTGAATAATGCTGCCGTAGCTGGCACTTCCTCACGCCCCGACCCCCTTCTCCTGGAGACCAAGGGAGGGGACACTGAGGCCAGGGGTCCCACCCCTGCCCTGCTGGCCCTAGGTGGCTCAGCCCACCTTCAGGAAAGCAGTAACCTGCACCCCTCAGTTTCCTTGTCTATAAATTGGGGATAATAAGACCTAGGGCCCAGGATTGTTGGAGGATTACTTGAGATCAGGCTTCATACAACATGGCTATTTACATAATGAGTGGCCCTGTGCCAGTGAGGGGCGGGGGCTCTTGTGAGAAGAGAGAGGGAGGAGGAGAGAGTAGGATGGAAAAGAACAGGGGCTGGACTCAAGAAGACCCAAAGGACCCACAAATGACCCCAGCAAGTCACTTATGTCAGGAAACAAAAAGGACCCGCTTATCACAGCGGTTCCACGCTCAGCTGCCCAAGGGCAGAGGGCTTGAACGAGTGTATGGTGGCGGTGGGTCTTGCGGGAGAGGGGACCGTCCACCACACAAGCAGCTGGGAGTTCACAGTATCCACCCCCCAGGACTGTGGGGCCTGCTTTGGTGCCGCACACTGGGGATGGACCAGTGATGGTCCAGGCTAGAAAACAGACTTGCCCCAGGTCACAGGGTAAGCGGCATCTGTAGAAACAGTACCCAGGCGTTCTGACTCCTTGGCTAAGACTGGTACTCTTAAGCTAAAAGCTAGAAAACTTCCCCTGAGACTCTCCCTCCCCACATACATGTGACTTGGCTGGCAGGTCCAATCCCACAGGACAAGGTGGGGCGGGGCTGAGGTCTGGGCCCAGGGCTCCAGGAACACATAGACTTGGCTTTCTCTCTCATGCCAGCTTCCACCCCACCTCCACAGCCCTTGGGTCTCCCATTTCCTCCCTGCTTGCCTTTGCCTCCCTCTTGCCCTGCTGAGGGGCAGCCTGGGGTCTTATCAGGGAAGCCAAAGCTGTCAAGAGAATGAAGGGGGTGGGGAGGAAGCAGGAGGTGGGCACTGCAGGGCAGGAGCACCGGTAGGAAACCAGGGCGCAGCTGCTGGCTCACGGAGGCTGCTTCAGCGCGGAGTGCACAGGTGAGGACCTGCTCCAAGCCCCCACCCCCGACCAGTCCTGCTCAAGGCTGTCTCAGCTATTCTAACATCTCCCACCCCCCCAGATCAGCCCCTGGGGGAACTGGACCCGGGTACTGGGGAGGGGCGGGTGCCTGGCCCCGGCACCCCTACCTCGTGCCCCCTGTGGCTTGAGACACCTGTTCGCAGGACCTGGCCCAGTGAACCCCAGGCCCCATCACACTGCATCCGGACCCCCAGAAGGGGAAGGCCACTCTCCACCCCGTGCAGGCTGTGACCCCTCCCCTCCCTGCAATCCAGCCCTGCCGGCCTCCTCCGGAGCCCTGAGCCGGTTGCAGGTGCCCTCTCCCACCCTCCCAGGGGGGCTCGAGAGGGGGCGGGCCTCCGCACCCCTCCCTCAGGTGCGCCCCTGCCCTCGTGCCCTACCTTGCTGAGGTGAGCTCTCTGGAGCTTCTTCATCTTGGAGGGCAGGTCTCTGGGGCTTCCCGGCTGGGCTTTTCCTGAGCGCAGAGAGCGAGCGAGGGAGCAAGAGATCTCGCCGCCGGCCGGCTGCCGCGCCCTGGCCTCCGCGACTCCCGCGCACCGGCTGGGGAGCCGCGGGCGCAGGCGCTGCCGTCCGTGGGCTGCCGGGCGCTGCCTCTCCCTGCGCAGCGCCCTAGGCTGGGGAGGGGAGCACCGCTGCGTCCGCGTAGACAGACGGGCTGACTGACTGACAGCAGGGGGATGCGCGCCCCCGCACGCAGAGCTGCCGACCGGAGGGGCCCGAGCGCGTGGGGAGGGGGGTCCGCAACGGAAACCCTCAGAGGTCTCCAGGCCTCCGCCACCGTCCCCTGCGTGACCTTGGGCAAGTAACCTGCCCTCTCTGGGCCTCTGTTTCCCTAGCTGGGCAATGAGGGAGGCAGGCCATGCACATGGACAGTAACAGCCCTGCCTTGGGTTCCGGCATCTCCGTACCTCCTCTTTGTTCTGTGACCCTGCCCGCGTTGCTTCAACTCCCTGTGCTGACACTCTCTGTCTAGAAAATGGGGACAAGAATCTTACCTCCCTTATAAGGATGTGAGGAGTCCAGGAAGATTGTGCATAGAGCACATTTAGCACAGAGCCTGGCACACCACAGGAGCTCAGTTAACATTTATGGACCCACTGTGTGTTGTCCACTCTTGCCAACAAATGAACAGCCGATAGATGTTTATTAAATCACCCAATCTACCAATACTTACTGAGCACCTAAAGTGTGCCAGATCCTGGGCTAGGTCTTACTTTTCTCAACGCAGTGACCTGGAGACGATGTTATTATCCCTGTTTTACAGGAGAGGAAACCAAAGCACAGAGAGGTTTAGTCACTCACTCAAGGTCACAGTGCTAGCGACTGACACTAGTGACAGAGTCAGGCCTCATGGACCTTCCGGGCCAGTAGTGGTGCTGAACAGGCCTGTTTCCTAGGGATGAAAGTGAAACAGGGAATTTGGGGTGAGGAGGAGGGACAGGGCAAGTGCCACTGTATGGTTGTGATGGTTTGTGACTTAGATCCTGTCCACCAGCAGTATGACCTTGGGAATGTTAACGGTTTCCTGTCTGTAAAGTGGGCCATCCGCCAACTGGGGCCTGGCTAACCTCTCAGAGTGTTGTAAGGGTACAGTGAGCCCGCCCGCAGCTAGGATGGGAAATTATTAGCTAGAGTGATCATATGCGTTGGTTTGTGGAACTGAACGAGTATTTGCTAGTGGGCCCAGCATATACATTACAAATCATGCTCCTTTCACTCTCAAAAGTGTCCCAGTTCAGACACTCATAGCATTGCCCTACCAGCAGCCAACATGGGGAGGCCTTTGGGGAGAATGAGATCAAGTGTCTGCTGCCCCTCCCATCCCTGGAGCAGGAGGCAGGAAGGCTCTAAATCAGAGCACAGGCTTGGATAAAGGGCCTGGCTGGGTCCCAAGGCCCACCTCTCCTCCCCAGGTCCCACCTAGCTGCTCCTTCCTTTAAGCCTGGCCTCACAGGGCAGGCAGGGACTCTCCAGACCCAGGAGGAAGGAGCCCCTTGGCCATGAATGTAAACGGAAGGGACGTTCATTGAGCCCTACTGCGTGCATTAGATGAGCTCATATCCAATATCTAAGTGTTAGCTCTTTCCAGCAGCCTGGAAAGACAAGTTTGTGCGTCCCCATTTTGTACCTAAGGAAACTGTCTTGAAGGAGTGAAGTTGTGTGCCCAAGGTCACAAATCACTGAATCTCTGAGCTTTGGAGATAAAGCGAGGAGGGCCTCGGGGCCGTGCCTGGGGAGAGGCAAAAACTAAGAGGCCCAGGCAGGACCCACCTCTCCTCTCCCCGAGGGCGTGTCACCACACCTCTTACAGGCAGCTTTGCTGAACCGCTCCCTCTCGTTGGCTTGTGGGTTTCATTAGACGCTAAGGAAGGAAGAGAGAACCATGGGAACAGGGAGTAGAGGTGAGGCATTGGCTCAGAAGCCCTGGAAGACTAGCCTCCTTGTGGCCTCTTCCCAGCAGCACCTGCTCCCCCAGATCCAGCCCTGGAGGGAGCCAACCCTAGGCAAAGGGAAGGGAGCAGGGCTGGGACTTTAGCCTTTCTCAGACACGTCATGGGGTGACCACTGAACATCAGCAGCAGTCACTGGGGCTCTGAATACAAATGGGTCTAGGTCCATGCCTTTCAGAAGGGGAAACTGAGGCCCAGAGGAGGCAGGACTTGGAAAATCACCCTGTGAAGTAGAGGCAGGGTAAGGCCTGGAATCTAGGAATCTGACCCCACCTAGGCTCTGCCCTCCATATCACACCTTTGCCATCCCCTCCCCCATCACCACAGCACTTGTTGGAAAACTCTATACTTCATACAATAAACAACCCCCCAACATTTTTTAGAAGACATTGTCCACATGAGTCAGTCTACCCTCTGAAACCCCAGTTTTATGATCATACAACTGGCCATGAGTTCAGCTGTTGAGCACATCTGACAATTGCTCTCAATACCACCCCGTCTCCCCCATCCCAGAGGAAGTTTGGGTACCACTTGGCAAAATAACTAGTTAGGAATTCAAACCTAGTAAATAATCTATTTCCCTTTCCCTCTCCCTCCCTCTCTATTTCTCTTGGTCTCACAACAAACCAGAAGAATGGGGATGTGGGCTGATTTAAAGAAAATGTGAGATGAAAATGTACTTCCTTTTATTATATAGGGAGATATTTTTAAATGCATATAAATAAACATTTTTAATTTGCTTAAATGTTCCGACTTTATCGCTGAAGAGCATGTGTTTTGTTACACCAGCGTGGCGACTGTGAAAGATGAGGATCCAGACTGCTAATCCATCTGGTGAGAAAGTGGTTCTGGAGCAGCCGTGCGGGGACAGGCCTGCCCTCCAAAGCCGCCCTGTCCTACACCTGCTGTGCTCCCAGCTTCTGTGTCCCACTGGCTGGGCATCTCATCCACCCTGGGCCAGGCTGGTTTCCTTGCTAGAGACCTCCTCTGTGAGGCCGCTCTACTCCCAACCCTGACACCTTCCCTAGTCTTGAGCTGTGGCCCTCTCCACTCAGCCCACACCAGTCTCTTGGCAGTCAGTGTTGGGAGTCTCATCCACAAAACTCAGATTCTCAATATGGTGTCAGGGGTCTATAGACACGTAGCGCTGACGCACACGTTTCTGATTTGCTAGAGGTCACGACCAGGCCCTGGGCCTTCCACAGCCAGGCCAGGCCAGATATTTTTGCCTGGACGCCCCCCCTCCCACCTTCCATCCCCCATCTCTAGCATCAGCTCAGGGCCTGCCACCCAGCAGGGGGGAAGCATAAAATCACTATATGCAAACAGAAGCAGCATCGACCATTCCCGATAGGAAAGCTGGAACGCCTCTTAGCACTGGGGTGGCCGCCGGGTCTGACAGGACGTAATGGGTCCTTTTCCCTGAGCCATTACAACACCCCTGCCTCTGGTGGAACTCTCTGGGTGGCAGGGAATGCATTACTTCACACCGCAGCCCAAGACACTGCTTGGAAGTTGTCTTAGATAAAAGTTTCCTTTTCCACGGAGCTCAGACACCAGTTGACAGGTGATGGCCAGTCCAACCTGTGGGGCCCACCCAAGGCCCTGACCGCCCACGTAGACAGCAACTGCAGCTCACCCAGCCTGCTCGGCCCGGCGACTGACCTCCAACCAGGCAGAGGTCTTCCTGTGGCTGGGGGCGGCCTTGTCCTGCCTCAGATCTTCCCAGCCACCAGCTGTCCTCAGCACTGGGGGTGGGGGTCGTTAGAACATCAGTCAGGCCTGCCGTCATCACAGTAGGATACAGCAGCCCAGGGAGCAGGTGTGGCTGAAACACGGAGCTTACTGTGTGCCGGGCCCTGTGCTACACATAATTCTGAGACAGCTTAGATAGCTTAGAGTATTTTATTTCCATTTGACAAATGGGGAGGCTGAGGCTCAGAGAAGCTAAGTAACTTGCCTGAAGTCTCACAGCTTGGAAGCAGTCAAGCTGGAATCCAGGCCATGTGACAACAAAATCTGCTACTAAACACTGGCTGCGTCCCAGCTGAAGTGTGGCCCTCCAGCCCACAGCGTTCCCACACTCCAGAGCGGTGTTCACTGGGGTGCTGGTAGGTGCTGGTAGCGGGCTCCTGGGTAGTGGAGCATGGGGAATGCTGGATAAAAGAAAATTCAAGGGTCTTCTTTGCTGTGGGACTTGTCCGAGCCTTTGATGTGTTAAGGCACCAGTGTGACTCTCCCAGAAGGGTTGAGTCTGCAGGACTTCTCAAACTGACTTGACCAGAGTCATTTCTTCTTGGTAAACAAGCTCCCCAGTCTTACAGATGGGGAAATGAGGCTCAGAGGGGGGAAGCAATTACCCCAGGGTCACACAGCAAACGCTTCTGACGATCAGAAACCTATATTCACTCACCGCTAGCCACCCTGCCACCAACCCTCTTCCTCTGCTCCTGGAACCCTGGTCCTCTCCCCTGGTACCACCTGGTTCCCATGCCTTAGATGTCCACCATCCTCAGTGAAGCCATGATGTCTCCCAGGCCAACAGCAGGAGGAGGAGAGAGAAGTGCCTCTGCTCTTCAGGGGCTCACGTGGGGACTGGATCCACCTCGTGCATTGTTGTCATGTGCCCCAGGAGCAAAGGGCAGGCAGGCAGGCAGGCTGCATACACTTTTTATGGCTAGGCCACCTCCCAGAACAGTAAACAGAGGGGCAGGCAGCTGGCACCAGAGCCCTCTAGGGAGTGAAGGCCCCAGGGCACAGACTCCTGCCCACCTCTCTGGAAGGGAGTTCAAAATAGCAGCTTTTCTCAGGAGTTTTTAAAAAATGTACTTCAAGTTCATATTCCTCTTAATCTTTTTTTACTATTCCTCCTTCTTGGCCTGACAGCACCTACTAGTCCTTTAGGTAGGCTTCAGTTTAAAATCACCTCCTCCAGGAAGCCTTCCAGACCCTCCAGGATAAGCTGGGAGCTCGCTCTGGACTCCCTGGATGCTCTGCTACCCTGATACGTAGAGCATAGATCAGACTGGGAACTTCTGGGTGGCAAGGACTGTACATTCCCTGGGCCCAGCCATGCCTGGCATATGGGGTGCCCAACGAATGTCATCTGTTGAAAGAAAACCCTGAGTTGAAAGTATTTGAAAAATTCAAAAGACTGAAATATTGAATCTGATGATTCTGCTTACAAAATGGACTTAAAATTTAACAGTCTCATAGCCTTACTCTAATGAGGTCCTGTTTTGATCTTTCAGAAGTATTTTAAAGGTGACCTTGTTGTAGGCCTACAGAGACTAGGAGAGACTATGCAGTTGCTGAGAAGGGTGAGGATGATTTACACTTCTTTAACATTTTCCTTTCATGCTATGTATAATGATTTTCATACATTTTTAAAAAGAGAAAAAAAATTTATTCTTGAAGCTGCATTCAAGAGATTCCACTCTCTGGGCAGCCCCTTGCCCAGCTGTGAGTCTGCTTGGTCCAGAGAAAGTTCTCTGGGGGCTCCCTGGGGCCTGGGCCCTGAGGGACAGCCTGGTGGGGTGGTAGAGACTTGGCAGGATGGACTCTGCCCCTCTGTCCCCCTTCAGAGGCCTTCCCCACAACCTGGAATCTCCACTGAGAATTTGAGTGAGGGAATATGGCTCTGTAGCCCAGAGCCTCTTGCTTAGGCCCAATCCTGTGGGCTTTGCGCTTTGCATCCAGCCTGGAGAGGGTTTGGTGCATGTTACGCAGGGGCGGGGGGTGGGGGGGCAGGTAGAGGTGAGGCTGCAGGAAAAGGCAGGTGTGAGCTGACACCCTCCCCCCTCCCCCCCTCAGGTCACGGTCTGCAAGCCTTCCATCTTCTCTCGGTTCCATCTCCTTTCTCCAGGAGTCTAGTCCCTACAGCAGCCTCCCACCTTTGAGCCTCTGGAGGAGGAGCTGGGTGGCCCCCTCACCTAGCCCCCTGGGGATTAAGACCTCCCACCCCAGGCTCCCTTGTCCGCCTGAGGCCTAGATCACCAGAGCTGGAAAAGGTCCTCATCCAGCAGGCTCGCTGCACAGATGGGCCCAGGGGATGCAGGGGCTGCGTGGGTGGTTGGTCCAAGGTTACTCAGCAGGTCAGTGGCAGGGCTTGGGACTCAGACTAGGCCTCCTGGGCCCCCACAGGAGCCACATTCCTAGCCCCTGAGTCCTCAAGGCCCCCAGCCCACAAGGCTGGTCGGGGGGCTATGGTAGGTACTCCTCCTTGACAGGCATTGGGGAGGAGGTGCCCAGGAGGCTGGCAGAGCTGGGGCACAGGCCCGCCAGGGGTGGCCCAGCTGGAGTGGCGGTGACATCGTGGGCGGGCGGGGGTGGCTGTGAAGGCTGCTGCTGTTGCTTCTTCTTGTTCACTTTGCGCTCCTTTGCCCGCCGGTTTTGGAACCAGATCTTTACCTGTGGGGTCAGAGAAGAGAGATGGGGTGGGCAGTGGGGAGACCGAATGACAGAACAAGAGGAAAAGAGGAAGGGCAGTGGAGCTCTTGTTTTTCGATGTGGCGCTTGGGGCTTCCCACTTGCTCTGGCTACCCCAACTGTTCATGGACCCTGAACACGTTCTCCCCCTCTGGAACTTGCTCCCCTACTCTTAAGACAACTTCCTCTGTAACCCTCTTCCTCTCCATCTTCCAAAGCCATGCTCTAACACCCTCCTCCAGGAAGCCTTCCCTGTTCTCCCTGTGACCGCTCCCTCCTCTGGATTTAAACAGCACTGATCAAAGCCCGCTGTAGCCTATAGCTAATCAGGCCCCATGCTCCTCTTGGTGGTCAGGGATATTGGGTTTAATTGGCCGGGGGATTGGCAGCAGCTCAGTTTCTATTGTGTTGTATGACCATGGCTGGGAGACAACCTCTCTGTTCTCCTCCCTCGACTGAGCTCCATAATCTGCCTGGCAGCCTGGAGGCCAGACTCCTGGGACTGCTCCTGTGGCTGAGGTGGGAGCCCCACACACCTGACGTTCAGTGAGTCCCAGATTGGCGGCCAGCTCTGACTTCCGCCGTATGGTGATGTAACGGCTGTAGTGGAATTCCTTCTCCAGCTCCAGGCGCTGGTGGTCGGTGTAGACCACGCGGTATTTGTCCTTGGTCCGGGTCTTACCTAAGAAGCAGAGGTGCCAGGAGGAGAGGTGAGTGGGGAGGGGAGCTTGCAAAAGGCCAAGGCGGGGCTCCCAGGGGGAAGAGCAATCCAGGGCCCCTGAAGAAGGACCTTGAGGGAGTAACAGTCATTCTCCCAGGCTCAGGCTTCGAGACTCCCAACCTAGGAGGCAAGCACTGTTCTCTCGCCCATCTGGGGGCCCTGAGGCTCAGAGAGGGGAAGCAGCTTGCCCAGGGTTACCCAGGAAGCAGCGGGTGGAGTTGGGGGTTTCAGGCCGAGTCTCCTGACCCAGAGCCCTACCCTGATTGCCAGGCCCACCCGCTTTCGTGCAACAGTTCCCAGGTGTGGCTGCAGAACAGACATGCGGGGAGCTTGTGAAAAACACAGCTTCCAGCGTGTCACCGAGAACGTGAAGTGGAAAGCCTTGGCGTGGAATCTCCATTTTTCACAAGCTCCCAGGTGGTTCCAATTTGGGGATCCTCAGACCGCAGGTCTGAGCACTAGAGACTTGGAGGAAGGAACACCTGGCAGCAAGGGTAGCTTGAGATAACGAGACGTCAGCTGCTCCTCTCTCCTGTGCGCAAGGAGAGCAGGAAGGGCCGTCACAGCCGGAGGCTGAAGCAGGAAGCTTGCAGGAACCGCCCTGGGGTATATGCTCCTCAATTCCTGTCAAATGCCGGGTGGTTGGTGGTCGCACAATCAAACAGAAAGCACTGGGGCTGCCGGTGGCTCCCCAGGACCTGTCAGCCTCCTCAGAAGGCCCTGGTTCTAGGCGCCAAGCCCTGAGCCGGGGCTGCGCCAGGGGCTGGGGACCGCTCTGCCCGGAGCCATCTACCCTCCAGCCTGTGCCCAGGCACAGAGCAGGAGTACTCAGATCAGCCCACAAATATGTACTGAGTTCCTGCTGTGGCCAAGTGCTGGGTACAGCAGTGAGCAAAACAAAAAGTCCCTGCCCTCATGAAGCTTAGGTTCTAGTGGAGGGAGATGGGCAAAAATAAAATAAATATGGAAATTATTTGATATGTTGATTGATGATAAGTATTTCAGAGACAAAGAAGGACTGGGAACTGAGGGAGGAGTGAGGCTGTGATTTTAAATACAGTGGTCCATGAAGGCCTTACCTTGAAGGGGAACTTAAGCAAAGATCTAAAGGAGGTGAGGGAAAGAGCAATGCAGCTGTCTGGGGAAGAGGTTCCCAGGCGGAGGGAACAGTAGGTGCAAAGGTCCTGATGGGGGGCATGCCTGCCGCACGAAGAGTAAGGAACAGTGAAGAGGCTGGTGCGCCCGGGGTGCCGTGAGCCAAGGGAGCGGACAGGTCGAGCTGGGCCTACGAGCCCCGGGAGGGACTCTGGATTTTAGTCCGTCTGGGACAGGAGCCATTGCAGGCTTCTGAGCAGAGGAGACAAGAGGTCTGATGGAGGATTTAAGATTACTGTGGCTGCTGCATGGAGAACAGATTGGTGAGAAGGGGGACATGTGGGGAGACCTGCCATAACCCAGGCAGGGCTGGCTTGACTTCCACACGAGGCTCAGCCTGGGGCCCGGAAGTGGATTTGAGGACCGACTGGGTTAATGTCAGGGATCTCTTTTGGGCTGGGATCAGAGGTCTGTCTGGAGAGAATATTAAGAGTCATGCTTGGCCTGGGTTGCTGTGGGGGCCGGACTCAACACCAGTTTCCTTGTAAGAAGCTGAGCCTGCGGCTACAAACAGGAGGCACGCGCAAGCACTTTTTAGACCCACCCATGTGTCTCACCAGGGCATGGCAGGTCTGCATAACCATCGAACCCATCCCACTTCAGCCAAGGGCCCCCGCAGTAACCTGGCCTTCACCTCCCTGGCCCCAGCTCTGGGCCTGCCCGCTCCTCGGCACCCCTGCGCTAACCACCCCCCCACCAGCGCCGGTCCAGCCCACACAGCTTGGCAGGCTAGCGCTGGGCTCCTCAGAGCCAAAGGGCTTGTGGAGAACAGGAGACAGCACATGTTTCTCGGCTCTTTTCCCTGGGCTTCCTGCCAGAGCAGCAGAACCACAGTGGACTCTTCCACAACCACTGACCTCAGCCCACTGCCCGACGCAGCACGGGACAGCCTCGGCCCTTGGCCAGGCCTAGCCCAGGAAAGGGACAAGGGAGTGGCTGCCGAGGCCTTGGCTCCAGACGGGGCCCCTCCTTGACCTAGAAAATTCAACGCCGGCTCAAAAACTGTTCTGCCTAATGTACCACCACTGAAACCCAGCAGAGCTCTGAACCCACAGCCCCACTGGGTTCACTGGGCTGAAGCCAGAAGGGGTCATGGGAATTTAGTCTCCTCCCACTTTATAGATGAAGAGACTGACGTTCAGGATGGTTATACAGCGTCCAGAGGTCCAAATAAGAGAGGCCTTGTGAGTCCTTCTAGTCCAACCTCCCCGTACAGTCAGGGTCATTGAAGCCCCAGGGTGCCGTGGACTTGCCCAAGGCCATTTCACCAGGCCTGCAGATCTCCCTCCTGCTCTAGTGCACAACTCCTCACCCCACCGGATTCAGGGTCCACAGAGACTGCTACAGGGCCCTCTAAGCATTGGCAGCAGAAGCTCAAACAACAGACCACCCATCTACTTGTATTTCTGGGAAGAGCGGGTCCAGACCATGGTGAGGACAGATTCCTGAAAGCCCTGGGCTGGGGCTGGATGGCCCACAGGTTGAAAATGCCTAGAAGATTCACAGCCTGAGGTAGGGGGAGGAGGCTCCCTGCCCACCCAAACCTCAGCCTAAGAGATTATAAAGACAGCCCCCCCCCCCTCAGGCACCGAACCCTCGGTCCCATCCTTCCTGACGAGCAAATGGGGATCCACTGCACCCATTTCATAGTTGGGAGAAATTGAGGCTCAGAAAAGGGCACTTGTGGAGGGCCATCCTTTTCGGTAGTGGTATAAACCTGGGCTCAGGTTTCCTGACCTCCAGCCAGGCTCTTTTGGTCGGGGGACGGAGGGAATTAGATGAGAGATGGGACTCTAGCTGCATAGTTCCTCCTCTCTGCATAGTTGCAGACTCTAGCAAGGCTGCCAGTGAAGACCCAGCCTACAGGCCCCGTCACCCCCTCCCTGGACCCAAAAGAAGGGCTGGTGGGCTCAGGAACACATCGGCCACTTCTATCTGGTGGAGTTGCTCAAAGCACACAATTTTATTGCTAAGAAAATGGCTCTGCCCCAAACCAAAATGTTTGATATCGCACTGTGTGGTCCAGGAACCAGGGAGTCCCACCTGCCATCCAGAAGGTGATAATGGGAACATCCTCCTTGGGGCCCAACTTGGTGACCTCAGCCTCATTTAACGTGCACATGCCCTTTGACTCATTAATCCCACTTCTAGGGATCAATCCCACAGAAAAATGCCCAAAGAGGTAGCTGTTTCAAATAGCACAGAACTAAGGACAATGTACATGTCTGTGAGTCAGGACCGGTTAATAAGATAAGAGATGGTACATCCATGGAGAGGAGCACTACACAGTCACTAAAAAGAAATTATAAAGCTCTGTAGGTGCCAATATGGAGCAATTTCTAAAAATATATTGTTCAGTTTAAAAAAAGGCAAAATGTTGTAAATAGTATGTTGCTATTTTTGTATAAAAATGGAATACACACACACACTCAAACATGTTTGTGGCCCGAGTTCTTTCTGAAAGAATACACAAGAAACCAGTAATGGGGGTTGGCGTGCCTTGGAGAGGGGACTAGAGGCTGGGGAGCCATAGGTAGGAGGGAGTCTTTGGGATGTTTAAATTTTTACCATGTGAAGATGTGAATTTGTATTTTTAATGACAGTCAGGAGCCCTGGGCTCCAGTCCCAGCTCTGGGACAGAACTCCCCACTGCCATGAGCAAACCTCCTTTCCCCTCCTGTGAACACCTGTGCCACCCTGGGGGCCCAGGAGAGAGGGGGCAGGGAGGTACGTGACAGTGGTGGGGCAGGGAGAGCGCCCAGGATGAATGATTTACAGGCCCTTGGGACACTGGGCCTAAGAGGGAAGTCCGGGCTCCTGTAACAGGTGTCTGATGGGAACCAGGCCACTCCCAGCCACCTAATGAATAACCCTCTGGGCCAGATGCCAGTGCAAGTAGGTGGGAGGGAGGGTGGGAGCCCCCCTACCAGCTCTTAGGGGTGAAGCATGGGGAGAGAAGGGCCTTGGATAACTGTGCAAATGAGAGGCTTTCTCTCTGCTCTGGCTGTGGGTTGTGAGGAATGGCCCATCCATATGCATCAGGCTGCCATGGAGGTAGCAAACTTCCCATCCCTAAAGCATGCACAGCAGAGGTCCTGGGAAGCTCCAGGCTAATGGTTCTAAATACCTGACCAGCAGCCTCAGAATTGCCTGGGGAGCTTTTTAAAAGCACAGATTCTGGCCCAGAAGTTCAGACTCAATGGGACTGAAGTGGGCCTCTGGGATTTGATACTTGAATAGCTCTCCAGGTGACCCTGACATGTGGTTGTTTGGGCAAGTAGACCTCCAGGGCTGCGCCATGCAGCTTCTCAATGGCTGGGTGATCCAGGACACCTCACCTCTCTGAGCCTCAAATTCTGTATCTATAAAATGGGGATAATTATTATTGTAATAATGGTCAATATGTCCATCTGTCAGGCACTTTGCATACATCTCTCAACAACCTATGAAGCTGTGCGACTGTTATCCCTAGTTTACAGATGAGAAAACTGAGTTTCAGCAAGGTCTGCACATCTGGAAGGCGGGATTTAGCCCAGGTCTGTCTAGACTCAGAAACAGCATTAGAACCTATGGCCCAGTGTAAGGTCTCCCATAATGATCTCCAACCCTCGGGTGTACAGGGGATCACTTGAGATGGATGGATGGATGATGCCTGGCACAGTACCTGGCACACAGTAGGTACACAGGGCAAGGTAGATCTTATTCATTTCCATGGTGGGATAACCACATGACAGGGATCCTGGGAAATGGATCTGAGCAATGGGCTGTGTGTTGGATGAGACTGTTTATTTATAAGGTCCCTTCCAACTTGGAAACATGAAGCTACCAATGTTTGTTGATGCTCTGATTATATTTGTTATTATTGCTGAAAGAAGTCTAAGACTGATTTCCCTGTCTGAGAGTCTAGAAACTGGGCCTGCCTAGCTGGAGGATAGAGGGCAGGAGCCTGGCAGTCTGCAGTGGGGCCTCCCCATCTATCCTGGACCAGAGTTCAGCCTCTGCCCCCAGGGCGGGTTAGGTGGCTCCAGAAAAATTGAGTGGCCTCTGGGTCAGCACTTCCTTTGACCTCTTCCTGCTGGGTTTGTGGCCCTGAGGGATGACACTGCCAGCTCCGGCCCTAGGGCTTGGAACACAGGTCCATGACCCCTCTCTGTGTGGTCCAGCCCCACTGGCTGTAAATCAAAATCCCCACAACCCCGACCGACACACATACACACACACACACACACACACACACACACAAAGGAATGCACATATGCATGCATGGATGCTTGTTAAAAATACATATTCCCAAGCTCTCAGTTCTATTGCATCCTGGTCTCGCTGCCATCTTTAACAAGCCTACCAGAGGGGATTCTGAACCACCAGCTCCCAGTTCTGTGCCATCTGTGTGGCCTTAAATAAGTCCTTTCTCCTCTCCGGGCCTCAGTTTCTCCTGTGCATCAGAAGAAGGTTTGGTGTCAGCTCCAAGGGCCCTGTAGATTCTGGACTTCTGTGTAGCTCTGAGTCCTCCCTTAAGGACCTGGGCCCAGGTCTGCATCCTTAGCTAAAGGACTTGACAAGTGATTGAATTTCTCTGGGCTTTCCTTCCCCCAGGGAACAGAATGGGTGTGAAAGCAGTTTGCAAAGGGCAAAGAGCTATGGACACGACAAGGAAAACTGAGCTATTTGCACAAGTGCATGTGGGAGGGATCCCTTGGGAGAGGTAGGAATGCTGCCTGATGGGGAGCCGCAGGGCAAAGAACATAGGCCTAGGGGTGGGGAGGTCTGGCCAGGCCACCAGCCGGACATGTGATGTTCAGCTTGGACCCATTTCCTCATCTGTACTACCAGTGGGTGGGACTCCTGCTGCAGCAGCCCTGACCCACCCAGTTCAATGGTGGACGGATATCCTCCCTGGGCAATGAGGCTCTCTACTGGGCCCATGACTGGTCCTTGTTCTGGCTGGTTTGCCAGTCCCAGGCTGCTCTAGCACAGTTCCTCATTCACCCCTGCTCATTCCTGGAGCAGGGGCGAGGCTGGCATGGGGGCGGGAGTGCGATGAGAGGAGGATGGTCAGGCCAGCCACACTCAGGGACCCTGTAGCCTTAGGCAAACTTCTCCACCCCACTGTCACACTCCTTTCTAGTCACAGCACTCAGTCAGCACCGCCCCCTCCTCCTCCCAGGCCTCTACCCCTCTCCTGTCTTCTCAAGGAGGTCCACAATCTGACTTGGCTACAAGAAGCAGTGAAGAGGACAGAAACTTCAGAGTGAGATAGACACAGTGGTTCTAACCCAGTCAGGCCAGGTGCCAGCAGTGGGAACCCAGGCAAGTCACTGAACCTCTCTGAATCCCAGTTTACTCATCTGTCAAATGAGGACATGAATGCCTCCTTCAGACATGGTAGCTGTGGAGATTAGATGTGATCATTTCTTTAACAAGGTAGTTAGTAATAAAAGCTATCTGTGACAATGCTGAAGAAAAAGGAAGAGGAGGAGGAAGAAGAAGGAGAAGACGATGACTGCAGAGACAAAAGAGGCAAGAGAGATTCCTCAGTGGAGAATAAGGAGCCCATCTGGAATGGATTACATTCTAGAAACTCTCGAGAGGGATTTTCCTGCACTGTGCTGTATGACAGCTACTAGCCACGTGTGGCTATTTAAATTAAAATTAATTAAATGCAATTAAAAATTCAGCTCTTTAGTCACACTAACCATATAGCAAGGGCTCAATAGACACGTGTAGCTAGTGGCTAGCACACTGAACAGCATAGATATAGAGCTATAGAAAGTTCTGTTGGACAACACGGCTAGACCAAGCTCCCAGCCAGGGCCAGATGCTCACACCCGCATATCATACGTAACCAGACTGCTTGGACTATCTACAGAGCAGCCCGTTCTTGCATCCGTCACCCATCTATATTCTTCCCAGGATTCTCCACAAGGGGCACCAGAAATAAGGGGCACCCTTGGCCCAGGACAGCCCTTCTAAGAGTTGCAAGCAGCAGCTGCATCCCTTCGCATCTTCTTCCGGACTCTGGACAACTCGAGGCCACCAGCTGTTTCCTGGTGGAGTGTCCAGGCCTCTGCCCTACCCTGGCCATCCTCCTCTGGTCCGGAGGTGAAGTTCCTGACTAATCACCCACAGGCGTGGGACGTGAAGAGTCACATTTGGCGCGGAGGTGCAGGATGGGGCTCTGGACTCCAGCCCTTTTCTAGCTCATTGAGGAACCTTGGCAAATCCCCTCCCCTTGGTTCCTGGCTCCCTGAATGCTCTGCGAGGGCAGAGACCATGCCACCTTGCTCATTTGGTTCCACAACAGTGCCAGACACACACAGCGAGTACTTGATGAATCCTTGTTAAACCTAACTCAGACCTACCGCTTCCTGGTCTTCTCCTCGCAGTAAATGGCCCCCATCCTCAGGCCACTCAGGCCAAAAGCCTAGGTGGCACTTCCCCCGCTTCCCACATCCAATCCATCAGCTGGTGGCTCAACCTCTAAAGGACATCCTTCTGTCCAGCTCCACTGCTCCCACAGCCTTAGTCAACGTCACTAATCGAATGGAGAAATGTGCTGTTCTGGGGTCGAAAATACCTGCACTTGAAAAAATAGCAAGTACTCAGTAGATGCTAGTTCATTTTATTATTACTGTGGGAGGTGCTCGGTACTTATTTGTTAAACAGCTCATTCCTGTTTTTCATGGGTGGGGGGTAGATTAAGAGCAAACAAATGAAATAATTATGAACTGAGATTAGTGTGAAGGAAAGCAATGGAGCTGAGAGCTAGATTAAGTGGCGGGAGGCGGTGGGGGAGGGAACCTACTTTATTTAGCTTGGGGCAGCTAAATGTCACCTCCTGGAGGAGGTGACATTTAAGCCAAGATATGACGGTTGAGCAGGAGGTTTCCATGTCACCAATGGGGAAGAATATCCCAGGAAGACAGAACAGCATGTGCAAATGCCCTGAGGCAGAGAGCAGCAACAGAGGACCAGCTCTGTGAGGGACCCTGTCTGCTTGTTCTGGCAGGAATCTCTAGCACCTAGCAGAATGTTTGGCACAGAAGAGAGACTCAGAGACTATTACCGCCTGCCTGCCTGCGTGACTGAATGAAAGAGACATGTGATGAGCCTGGAGAGGCTAGCAGGGCTTTGAGCCCTGGGGTGAGGGGTTTGGATTTGTCCTCAAGAGAAATGGGAAGACATCAGAGGGGGTTGAGCCTGGAGTGTCAGTCTCGGCTTTCACTAACGCCTGCTCCCTCTGGTGATGCTGAGGGATCTATGTGGCGCATCCCTATAAGGTTGATGGGCAAGTATGGCAGGGGGAGGGCTTAGCATGTTAACAGGGTGATGGACCTGACTCCAGATGTAAATGTTTCCAAATCCCAAGAGCTCCAGGACAGAAACTTGAGCGGTCATCTCATTAAGATAATTCCTCATTGACAAGCCAGGCTTGCTGCTAACAAAGCTGTTTTGGACCTTCAGAACAGCTCCCCAGTCTCTCCGCAGCAACATGTGCCTAAGTGTGCGTGTGGGGGAACACCCAACCGATAAAAGCCTTCTGCCACCTTCTAACTGGGTCACTCCCCCCTTCCCAGGTACATCTGAGAGATGAGGTGTCAAATGGAGTTTCTGCCTTGAGAACCAGTTTTAAACAGCCCCGGCACCTGCTGTGCCCATCCTCCCCCTCCAGCCTCTTATAGCTCATCTCTGACTGGCTTCCTTTTCCCCACCTAGACGGGAATGCACATGGGGAGAGGTCTTGGGCTCCCGTTCTGAGTGTGTTGCTTTATTTGATAGATGCTCATTAGGCTGTAGAGTCTAGGTTTGAACCCTGTGCAGGAGCATCCCAGCTGTGTGAGCTTGGGCAAGCCACCTTACCCTCTCTGAGCCTCATTAACTTTATCTGTAAAATGAAGCTAATAATAGATCCTCACACCTCTTAGAGTTGTTATGAGACTTAAGTGAGATCATCCATGCAAAGTTCTTGGCACAGTGCCTGGCACATGGTAAAGGCTCAGCTGATGCCACAGTTATTAGCTTTATCGTGAGCTCCTACAATGTGCAAGATATGGTGAGGAGGACAGGACTGATTAGCGCTGCTCCTTGAGGGGATAACAGACGGTAGATGGCAGGGATCAACAAGACAGTCAGTGATAAATGTTGTTCAAAACAAGGGCCTGGTACAGTGTTTGTAGGGGAGGGAACCAAGGAGGGCTTCCTAGAGGAGGTGGCCTTGGAGAAGAAGCAGCATTTGACCTGGTAAACAGGTAGGAGAGGGAAGGGAGGGCAGTTCAGGTCAAGGGACCCATAATAGAGAGGCAGGGAGTGTGAGGTGTGTGCTCGCGTGCACCTGCTAAGGACTGGTAGAGATGGTCCCAGGCACCAGTGCACTGAGCGCCTACTGTATGCCAGGGTCAGGGCTATGCTCTACTGGCACCATTGCTTCAAGGTGTAATCTTATTAATGTTACAGTGGAAGAAGCTGAGACTCAGAGAAATGATCCAAATTAACTCGCCTGTGGCTAATGCAGCTTCTGACAGAAATGCAATCCCAGGCCTGAGGCTCCCGAGCCGGACTCTTAACTGTCCCAGGTAAGCATCTCTGTATCTCGGCAAACTAACGGGAGAGTGGCTTCAAGAGTGGGTTGGGGCCAGTTCTCAAGAGGGCTCTGAAATGGAGCTGGATTTTACAGCATAAAATGAAATGGCAATTCCATGGCAGTGGGGAGCCATGGTTTAGAGGGCGGCTAGGGCATCAGAGAGAGGCTGAAGGTGAGAGGCCAGGTTGGTGACTGTGGCAATGGGCCAAGGGAGAGGGTCTAGGATGTGGTGGGGAGAGGAGGGTTCATCCCCTCCACGGGCCTCAGTTTCTCTATCTGAAAGCTGATGGGGATGGACCAAGACCTAAACCCTGCTGCAAGAGTCTTATCATCTGAGCGGACATCTCCCGACTTGTGTGGGACCTCAGCCACCTCAATGCGCCATTAACCTGTGAAAAACTATTCACAAGGAATTGGAGGCTGAGCCTTCAGCAGAAGGATAAGTTAGAGCCTTCCTAAGGAAAATGCTGATATTTATAGATGCAAACGGGGAAGACAGAAAAAAAAAAAAAATAGAGCCCCTTGTAGTCATTTCCTATCCTGGCCTCAGTCAAGTGAAAGTCATCACTCAGAACTGGTTAATGGACAACATAACAGCCCCTCCCACATCTTCCCCATCTTCCCTGCCCCCTCCTTAGGGAAAGCTGGCATCTTAGTTCCAGCCTCAGCAACGCCAGTTCCCCAGGTGAGGATGGAGTACTGTCCCATCCATGGAGTAGGGAGAAGGGGGCAACCAGGCTTCCACCACTGGCATGAGCTGCTCGGCTGGACAGTCATGGGTCCCATCTCCAGGTTGAGATCTCATCTCTCCCGTCTTCTCCCAGAGCTGTCTTACTGTTCCTCACACTTGCCCTGTTCATTCATTCAACAAAATGTATTGAGCACCTACTAAATGCCACACACTGAGCTGGGTGCCTGGAATGTAGTCATGGGTCAAATAGACATGGTTCTGGACTTCATAGGAGTTTACCTTGTCAGTGGGTGTGGGAATAGACAACACACAAACTCACAAATAAGTAAGTTAGTGCTCTGAAGGAAACATGGCAAAGATGATCAATGGGTATTGGTGGGGGGTGCCTACTTTGGAACATCATGGAGGACCTCTCTGAGGAGGTGGCCATTAAGCTAAGACCTGAATGGTGAGAAAGAGCCTGCAAAGAGTCTGGGGAAAGAGTTTCCCAGGGAGAGGGAACAGTATGTGTACAAGACCTGCCTGCAGGAGCACATACAGCTTTGTAGACCTCAGGAAGGAGTGTAGATTTTGCCCTAAATATAATGGGAAGCCACTGGAAAATTTTAAACTGACTCATCCAACATATATCCCAGCCCTGCCTCCACTTGTGTGAAACTGGAACATGCCTTAAAATCTCCAGGCTTCAGTTTCCCATCTGTATGTCTGTTCTCTAACTGTCCAGTTCAGATATTCTAGAATGCTAGAGGCACAGAAGAGGGAAGAAGGGGCAAGAAGGGTACAATAAGAACAGGTGACCAGCAACATCTGGGGAGATGGCATGCACTGACCTTCCCTCTGCTGCCCCAGACAACAGCCTTGCCCGGGAAACACCCCCAGAGACCCTGTATCTTCATTGCCCAGAAGGAGAAACTGAGGCCAAAGAGGAGAGGGGCTTGGCCTGTCTCTCACGGAGGGTCTGTAACCCCACCCCAATTCCGACCCCACCTCAAGAGTCAGAGTCAGATGCTGCCTGAGTAGACAGGTAGCAGCTTCTACCTTCGAAAAGGCAGAACGGCTCTCACCTGGCTCCTGGGGTGGCCACTTTCCTCCGGAGCTCGCAAACCTCCCTTGGCCCTTCATTTTAGTTTCTGGGAGTGAAGGTGGAAAGGACTTTTGCCTTTGGGCAGAGTTACTCCTAGGCCCCCTGTGTGCCCAGGGACAAGTGTTTCCAAATGACTTCCGAGACCAGAGGTGAACTGAGTTCGGCAGCTCCAGTGCCCAGAGGGACGTGACTTGCCTGACATCACACAGCCTGGAAGCTCCCCAGGGTTCCTGCCAGTCCTCTGACCCCCACCCACTGACCCACTCTCTCCCCCTCACATAGTGCTGGCCTCTCTCCAAGTCCCCGCCCCTGGGGAACCTCCCCATCCATCTCCAAAGTCGCCTGGTCAGCAGGAAGTAACAACCAGAATAAAGGAGCAGGAAAAGTGGGCTTCCTTCTTCAGGGAACAGACACAGAACTGCAGGACCCTGAGGGTCAGTGGCCCCAGACACTTCCTCTCATATAATCTGATGCAAAATTCTCAACCGAGGTTTATGGGTAAAGCTTCTGGGGGCCTTTAGAACCCCTGAAATTGTTTGCCCGATTAGGAAACACTTTTTTTCTAGGGAGAACATTTATACTTCCCATCAGATTTCACAAAGGGGTCCTTTTGTAACTCAAACAAAGGTACAAGACCCTTCCCTCTCATGGGATGGTAAAACTGAGACTCAGAAAAGATGGCTGATTTAAGAGCCGCTGTTCAGAGGATTAGAGCACAGGCTTGGTCATATCCCAGCCCCACCATTTACTGCTTATGTAGGTATAACTATACTTGCACAACTCTGTAACCTCTCTATGCCATAGTTTCTTCATCTTGAAGACGGGGGTGATAATAGCACCTATGATAAAGTTATAAGAATTAAAACATATCAGGTCAGTGCCCGCTCCGTTAGTAAGTGTTCCATAAATATTAGCTGTTATTATTTAGCCAAGGCCACAGAGACAAGTGGCACAGCTGGGACAGAAACCCCAGTCCTCTGAGGCCTCCGGAGGCAGACAGGAGGTCCTGTGTCCCTGGGAGTCCCAAGGAGGTGGTACAAATACAGCCAAACCTGTAGCTGCTGATCAACCCTCCCCACATGTGTGGGGACATGGAGGTGAAGAGAGAGAGGAGGTGGGGGATGTCCTAGGCTCGCTCCCAGCTGGGGGAAAGGGAGGAGGGGCTGGACATCAAAGGGTGGGCAGGCCAACTTCCCGCCCCTAAGGCCAGGTGGCCTTTGTCAGGACAGGCCGGACACAGTCGGGACAATGGGTATCATGTTCACCTTCTGGCCGACAGGAGTCACTACCGAGCCAAGGCCCAGCCTGTTACATGACAAAGGGGGGACCTAGGAAGGAGGTCAGGCCACCCCTCATTAAAGCTGAGCCTTTGTCCTGCCCCCTCCCCTGCCTTTGAAGAGGGTGGATCCAAGAGGCCTGCCTGGGGGCAGAAGGTTCACAGGCTCAGGAGCCAAACAGTAGCCACCTTCCCAACTGCTCCTACTTTCCCCTCCCCCAGGGTCAAGAGTTCAGGGCGAGCCCTGGGATGGTAAGGTAGGGACCCTTCACCACCACCAATCTAACCAAAGAGGGCTCTTTTTTAGTCCAAATGATATGACCCACCGATCTCTTCGTTGTATGGATGGGGGACTGAGACCTGGAAAGGAAAGTGACTTATGGGTGTTCACATAATCGGTGCATGTCCTTCGGGGGTTTGCAGCCCCTCTTTGGGGCTGGGATAGGGGTGCATGAAACGGATGACCACCAGGGCCAGTGTTGCTAAAAGTTTACCCTGGGATAAAGGTCTGGGGACCTGTGTCTAGTTCCGGCCTTGCCACGCAACCACAAGGCGTCGTTCTTCATGGCTGGGGTCTCAGTCTCCCTGTCTACAGGGAAAGACAGCGTGTGCTTCCCAAGGCTCCAGGATTCAGAAGGGGGAAGCTGAGAGAACAGCCCGCAGGGACAGAGTCGGGGGTGGGGGGCACACTCTGGAACCCAAGCAGGGCCGGGGCAGAGGTCAGACAGGGGGCGGCCGGGGCCTTGCTCTAGCACCTGCCGGCGCCCAGGGGAACCGTCCAGAGGCGCAGGGTGAGGGAGGGGTGCTTACCGCTGCCACCGCCGCCTCCGGCCGCCACGCTGCGCCGCATCCACTCGTAGGGCGTCCGCCTTTGCGCTCCGGGCGAGGACGGTGCGCCTGGGCCGCTGAGGGGCTGCGCCAGGAGACCCGGCCCAGGCCCCGGGGGCGCGGGCACCGCGCTAAAGTCCGGAGGGGGCCCGAATGCCAGCGGGGCCGGGCTGGCGGTGGAGGCCGCGGGGCCCGGACTGTAGGCGGCGGCCCATTCGTCCTTGGGCGCAGAGAAGGGCGTGCTCCAGGCCGCAGGGGGCACGGGGCCCGGCTCCACGTGAGAGTAGCCGGTGAAGTCGGGGTACTGCGGAGGCGGCGGGGGACCGTAGGCTTGCGGGCCCAGGCCGAGACTGGCGGGCCTGGCGGGGCCGGGGTACACGGGGGATTCCTTGTCCAGCACATAGCCCACGTACATGGTGGCCGCGGGGGCCCCCGCGCATGCTGGGCCCTGGAGCCGCCGCAGCCGGCCGCCCCGACGAGCGACTGCTCACCTGAACTCCCAGCCCTGCCGCCGCCGCCCCACCCAGGCCTTTTATAGCTCCGGGCCGCCACGGCCCCAGCCGAGGCGGGTTTGCATTTCAAAGCGGGGGGAGCCTCCAGGCCGCGAATCAAAGGGGGAAACCCGTCGGGGGCGGGGGGTTCAAAAGGAGACAAATTGCCGCCCCAAGCTGGAGGTGGACGCCGGGGCCAAGGGGGGGTGGGGGGCGCGGAGGGCGCATCCTGAGCGAGCATCGAGGCATCGCTAGGTGTGGGAGTCTCCTGCGAGGCCCCAGCCTAACCGCCCGAACACCTCGACCGCCCCGCAACCCCCTTTTACAGGTGGAGAGAAGGGATCCGTGGGGTTCAGGGGCGCCAGGCCAGCGTCACGCAGCCACACCGGGCCTGTGGCGCAGTCCGCAGGGACCAGTTGGAGGTGAAGGGGAGGAAACGCTGACTTCAAACCGGGTTCCCGTCTTTAAGGTAGCGGGTCCTTAATCTTTTGCGGGGGCAGGGGGGAGAGGAGGGGTCACGACCCCTCTGAGTGTCTCATGAAAGCTGTGGATGTTTTTTCCCCGGGGGGAAAATGCACATATGCACATACACGAGCCTGCAAACAATTGGGGAGTTCACCTGAGTTGGCTCTCTGGAGAAAGTTCTTAGAGAGGTGGTGTAGCGACATTCTTTTAGAGACATTCTAGTGAACTTCTCACAATTCTCTTGGCAACACCCCTACCCGCGCCCTCACTCCCACCTTTATTTTAATGAGACGTTTCAAACATACGCAAAAGTAGAATTGTAGAGTGAATCACTATATACCCATCACCAGTTTCAACTGTTATCAAGATTTTGCCACACTTATTTAACTGACTCGCTTCCCTTTTTTTTGCTAAAGTATTTTAAAAGAAATTTCAAACATCATGTCATTTTACCCCTACTTACTTCAGCATGCGTCTCTAAAACACATGGACATTTTCTTACATAATATGCCATTATCACACCTAACAAAATTAACACAGATTCCTGGATCTAGAGACTGTCATATGGAGTGAAGTTAAGTCAGAAAGAGACAAGCAACTATCGTATATTAACGCATATATGTGGAACCTAGAAAAATGGTACAGATGAACCGGTTTGCAGGGCAGAAATAGAGACACGGAAGTAGAGAACAGATGTATGGACACCAAGGGGGGAAAGTGGTGTTTGTGTGATGAATGGGAAGATTGGGATTGACATGTATACACTAATAGGTATAAAACAGATAACTAATAAGAAACTGTTCTATAAAAAAATAAATTAAATAAAATTCCAAAAAAATTAACACAAAGTCCTGGGTATTATCTAATACCCAGTTCATGTTCAAAGTGTTTCATTTGAGTCAAAGATGTCTTTTTAATGGCTGGCTTATCCTAAAGCCCTGATCTATTTATTATTGTTGGGGCTCTCTTGTATTTTAAATGTATCACGCATCTCCCCGCACCTTGCCCAATTAAAGACTGCCAAACATTTCACAGCTACTGGGGTTGGGGGGTGTTAAATAGTTGAGAGACCATCAGTGAACCGGGAGTGGGGAGCAAAGTAGAGGGATTTGGGGAAGGATTCATGAAGGACAGGGCTTTGGATCAGAAGGCCTGTGGGAGATGCGTTCCCTCCCCACAGGAGGTTCAGGGCCAAGGAGCTGCACAGAAGCCCCCTATGGGATTTGATCCTCCAGCGTTTCCTGGGAGCCCCCTAAATGTTCAGGGACATGTGGCCCCCAGAAGATGGGCAGAATCAGGGTCTTATCTATTTAAGCTGTCCGTCCCTTGGGTCACCACCTTGGCTAGGGCAGGTCAGCATCATCTCAGGGCTAGACAGATGTGTCAGGATCAGGACACAATTTACAGGGCCCAATGCAAAATGACAACGTGAGATCCCTTCAAAAATTATTATAAATTTCAAGATGGCAATGGTAGAGCATTCAACCAAGCATGGGGCCCTTCTAAACACTGGGCCCTGTGTGACTGCACAGCCGACTCACCCATGAAGCTGGTCTTGGTCAGAATCTTGTTCTCCTGCAGCTCTGATAGCTACTATAGCAGAGTGAGGGACATTATGCCCAGGGTGCCCCTTCCTGCCTGGAGGAACCCTTTTCATTGCACAGATGGAAGCAGTGAGACCCCGAAAGGAAAGGGGTTATGTCCGAGTTTATGCAGCAAAATGAAGGTTGTTCATGGGAGGGGGGAAAGAGGGCTGCCTGGGTTGTGGCTGACATGGATGAGCTCATGACTGCCTTAGCAGGGAAGGTCAGGAAGTGGATGTGTTGGTGAAAGTTTGCTCAGCAAGTCCTCTGGAGTGCTGGGCTCTGCCCAGGACCCAATTTTTCAAGGGGTCAGTGAGAAACTGGGAAGTATACAGAGAAGGGAGGAGAGACCCAAGAGAACTGGGCTTTACTCTCTGAGTTGATGTAACCAGGACGGCTCAGAATGGAGGAAGAAAGGACCTGGAGAGTGACTTGAAGGTCTGAGTTTGGGGCGGGGGACAGGGCAGACCTAAGACCTGAGGGAGAAAGCTGCAGGCACAGAAATGGATTCCAACCCACCCATAGTGAAGTGCTCTCTAGAGGGCGGTCGTGAAAGAGAGAGTGAGCTCACCATCACAGAAGGTATGCAGGTGACTGCTGGAGGTCCCCAGTCAGGGATGCTGCTGAAAGGATGCCTATCCCAGGGAGTGAGAAAGTCGGTGCCCTCTAGGTGCCCCCTAATTCCAAGAATATGCTACATCAGACCTAGATGGAAAGCTTAAAGTTTGGGACTAGGTATAGGAATTCATTTGTTCATGTGTTCATATGTTTGACAAATGTGTATTAACATTCCTCCTTTGTGCTGACCCTGTGTCAGGTACTGAGCGAGGCTCTGCACTTGGGGTGCTTACAGAAAGGGAAGGGGGAGAAGCAGGTACGAATCAAATGATCACAAATAGGGGCAAAATGACATCTCGGTGAGGGCCAAGAATCCGGAGAGTTTTCCCAAAGGGAGGAGACATGGAAGTCTTGCAAGAGGAAGTGACATATGAATCAAGGCCCTGGGGAGCAGGGAGGGACACTGTGGGCAGAGGGACAGTGTGAACAGAGGGGTTGAGGCTGGAGGGGACACGTGGTCCTCCAGAACTGAAAGACCAATTTGGAGTTTAGTGATGGGGGGGGGCGCACAAGACGGGGGCAGGAGAGGAGTGTGGAGAGAGACAGAGCAAGGCCCGGCAGGACAGACCTGATGAGGGGTATGGGAGGTTGTCATCAAGGGTTTTGCGTGGTGGAAAGGGGGCTGTGGCTGGTGTGTGGAGGATGAGCCAGAGGAGAGGTGGGAAGCCTGAAAGCTGCAAGGAAGCTGGGCAGGGGTCCAGGAGTGATGAAGACAGCGTCCAGAGCTAGGGTGGTGGCTGAGGGATGGGGGACTTTCCAGGCAAAGCAGGGACTATTCCCCTAGCCAGGGAGAGAGCAGAGTTAGGGAGGCCTAAGGCCTGGGGGCCCATCCCAGCTGCTCCGTGGTACCCTGAGTGCTGTCCTCTCCCAGGGTGGGGGCAGGAGGTGCCTGCCTCTCCACAGACACCTCCTGGGGCCGGCCTCCACCCACCACCACCCCACCTTGGGCCTGCTCTTTCCTGAGCCTTGGGTACTGGGAAAGGTGGGACAAACTGGCCCCATTTGCTGGATGAGGAAAGGAAGCAGGAAGCACAGAGAGGTCTAGGTGCCTGGCCAAGGTCACAGAGGCACAGAGCTGGGCACAGAAGCTAGGTGTCCTGACCCCACTGGCCTTTCTTGCTGCCCAGCCAGAGCGCCCAAGGGGTCCTCAGCCAGCCCTGCTGATCCTCCAAACGGCACCCCTGGTCCATGTAGTGTAGGAGTGCAAGGCTATCATACATTTCGTAGCATCCTGATCATACAAGACCCTTAGAGAGTCAACCCACTCATTTTACAGGTAGGGAAACTGAGAGCCAGAAGCCTCAAGAAAGAAAGGATTGTTTTCCAAGTTCCCACAGCAGGTCAGTTCTGTACTGGAATCAGACCCAGGTCTTCTGATGCCCAGCTCGGCACCCTTTCACTGCATCTCTCTGAGATTGCAGGGTTTGCCCTTTTACCTGTGCTGAAATAATAACAAGAGCACCATTATTTATTGAGCATTTACTAAGTGCCAGGCATCGTGCCAAGTTGTTTGCATGTGTTAATCTCATTTCATCCTCAGCCAGGTGAGGTCGGGTCATTGTTATCCCTGTTTTGCAGGTGAAGCTGCTAGAGCTCAGAGAAGTGAAGTTACCTGCCTGAGGCCACACAGCAGGTGAGTGGCCTGTATGGAAGTTTTTCTTTCCTCTCCAACTGAGCCACCTGGAAGGATAGTGAGCCTGTATGTGCCTCTCCCCTCACCCCAGGGTTTTTCTTAAACAAATAACTGATTCCTCTTCCTCCTTTAGCTTCCTCATGCAAAAGAGCCTCAGCTCCCCCCTCACCCTCACCCTTAGATGGACCCCTCAGTCAGAGACCTGAACTACCCCTCATGTGACACCTCTGAGGACACTGTAACCTTGTTTAAAAATTTCAAGCTAGGCATCTGAAATCGCAGGTCTTCCCCCACCTTGGCCTCTGACTCGCCATGTGACCTTGAGTCCTTGCCTCCCTGGGCCTCAGTGTCCCCAGGTGCCCACTGGGGACTTGTTGCTTTGGACAGCCGTCCAGCTGTGGCGCTGTGACCATGTGTGGGTGGAAAAGCCCTTCCTCGACCATGTCGCAGCCTCTTCCTCTCTGACAGCCCCTTATCTCTGGGAGCAGCCGTTTATTGGAGCCCTCCTTCCCTCTGGCTCCCCGGGTGGGCCCCTCTTCCCTCTGGAAGTCCTCCCTCTGGGCTGCTCTCACACACCCAACCAGGGCCTTCTGGGGTGGGGCTCAGAGACGATGGCCTCATAAAGATCTTGGTGATAACTTGGTTTTTAAATCGGGTTTATGGCCCTGAAAGAAAGAGGCTCTAGGCTTAGCTTCCTGTTGGAAGTGATTTGCTTAAGAGAAGCTGGTGGGCACCACGGCCAGCATTAGGCTTACCTAGACTGCCCCCCCATTCCCAGCCAAGCTTCGACCTCACTCTGTGACCTTGGGCAAGGAACTCTCCCTCTCTGAGCTGTTCCTGAGGTGGAAGTGAGGATGGTGATCTCTGCCCACCTTCAGGGGGCAGCTGTGAGACTCATGGGTGAGCGCTGGAGCTGCTGGGAGCCCCTCCCCCCTCCTCTCTCCCCTCCCATTACGGTCCTCTCCTCCTCCTGCCCCCTTCAGAGGCTGGGGCGCCACCTGCTGTCCCTTTGAGGTACTACTGGAAGGCTCACTGGCTGCCTAGTCTCAATCTTGACGCAAGATGTGCTGATTCCCCTCCCCCTCCCAGTGGAGAAACAGAGGCGTGGCCTGGGGGGGGCAGTCCCTCAGTACACAGCCACTTAGGGAGCGGAAAGGACGCTACAGCCAGAGACCCAGGGGCAGAATGTGCACATCTGAAGGAGCACTGTGTCTGACCCATTGTCCAGAGGAGATACAGAGGCCAGGACAGGAAGGTCACACTGTGAGTCAGTGGTCAAGCATGGCCCAGAAATCCCAACTCCCAGCTGAACGCATTCCCGCAGCCTCTGGGATGGAGAGAGTCAGGGTGGGGGCGGTCAGCCCACAGTCGACTACCGTAGCCTCCCTACTAGCCCCCTGCCTTGCCTCGCCTCTTGCCCCTGTTAGCCAGTCCTCCACAGCGTACCACCATGATCTCATCGGTGCCCTGTTTAAAATCCTACACTGGCCCCTCCTGACCCTCAGGACAAAAGCCAGACTCCTGTCGGGCCCACAAGGCCCCTTACTGCCTCTCCAGCCTATTCCCCACCACATCTCCTCTCTGTGCCTCAACCATTCTTTCCTTCCTGTTCAAACACACCAGGCTCTTTCCGGCCTCCAAGCTTTTGCGCATGCTGTTCCTTCTGTCCAGAACACTGTTCCTGCCCCTGCATTGTAGGTGGCCTCTTAACCTCAGATCTCAGTTGAAATATGTCTTCCCCAGAGGAGCCTTAATCTACCTAAACAAGAGCCCCACCTACCCAGCCTGTTATTCTGACTCTTTTATCACATTTGTCACAATTTTTATATTATTAATTTGTGGTTTCCTTGGTGTTTGCTTATGAGCTCTATGAGGGCAGGGCACATGGCAGGTGTTCAGTTAACTTGAATTGCATGGATAAACGGTGGGAGAAACAGAAGGGCCTGGGAGTCAGAGGCCCCATTCCAGACCCACTGTGTGCCCTCAAGAGGGTTCTGGCCTTCTCTGAGACCCAGTTTATCCAGTGAGGGGGAGATATGTGGCCTCTGAGGGCCCTGCTGTTCTGACGATCCTTGAGCCATCTGTGCACCAGAAGGACACACTGTTGTTCCCTGGAGCACTGAGACCAAGGCCAGCTGGAGGCTGGGGAGAGGCTGAGGCGGGCAGGGTCTTGAAGCCCTTGTTAGGCCTTGGTGGTGACAGCCTGGGCCAGCATAAGCAGTTCTAGGAATCTAGGTTGGGAATGTGGCCTGAAGCCGCCACCGGTCCCTCTGCCCCACCAGCCAGCCACTGTGCTGAGTGTCCAGGAGGGGAAGGGGCAGTTTCCACTGTGTGCCTCTTTTCACTCCCCCACCTGTAGGTACAGGGACCTACCAGCTCAGGGTGTGCAGGGAGGAAAGACACGGTGCTGGGGGTCAGGAGTCCTGCATTCCAGGCCCCTTCTGTCTCTGCTAACCTCAGGCGAGTCCTCTCTGCTCTCTGGGCCTCAGTTTCCATGCCTGTCGCTCTTAGGACTCCTCAGGCCCTGACATCCAAGATGACTGTGCCAATGCCTGGAATATGTGTGCTGCATCCTCACCCCAGGCCGGGGGAGCTTGGGAGGGGGGGCGGCGCCGGGAGCGTGGGAGAGCCAGATGTGGTGGCTGCTGGTGCTGCCTGAGTGAGCACTGAGCTGGCCTACTGGGAATTCTCCCACTCAGGCGCCCTTTCCGGGCCCCCTCCCCCGCCCCACGGAGAGCTCTGGCTTCCGGCTCTAAGCAGCGTGGGTTGGGGGGCTGAGGAGGGGGTTCAGTTCAGCCCAGTTCCCTCCTTCAGAGAAGAACATGGGCCTGAGAGTCTAGACCGGAACCTGGGTGTCCGTCCTGGTCTCATATCACAGTCACTTTCCATCACTGGGCCTCAGGCATCCTGACTGTACAAGCAGCGGTTGGACCAGCTTCCCTCCACCCCTGATGGTGGACTTCTGCGACAGCAGCTCCCAGCGACACCTGAGAATCAGGCACCTTCTGTGGAGCTTTCTCACTCTGCCTTAGTCCTGGAACAAAACACCTTTGGTGCAGGTGTTATTCAGGCCTCTCAACAGCCCCATTTTACAGCTCAAAACACTGAGGCTCTTTGAGCTCAGATCATGTAATTCGTCTAGGGTCACACAGCTAGGAAGTGGCAGAGTTGGATTGGAACTACCCATATCAGGGCCCAGGTTCTTAATCCCCGGGCATGACACTGTGCAGTGGGGAGGGGACGTGCTGAACCCCAAGGCCTGCGGCTCCTCTCTCCCTCTGTACCCCATCCCACTTCACCTCAGGCAGTGCTCCCCACGCTCCACGCTCCGCCCACCCACTCTCAGCCTAGCCTCTCCCAAGACAGGATTGTCGGAGGCTGGACCAGGCTCCCAGCATCTGGGCAGGTGGGAGACTGCTCGTGGCTTATCCTGTCCCCAGTGGGGGCCACGCTGACCACCCCGGCGTGACGGCACTGCACTGCCCACTGCACACTCCTTCAGAGTACACGGGGGAAACTGAGGCCCAGAAAGCGGAGAGCTCAGCCTAGGGGTACACAGTGGTGGGCTGCAGCTGGAATGAGGGAGACACACTATTTCGAGAACACTTCAGGCACTGTACTTAGCCCTTGAGGTGTGCATTGCAAATCACAGCAGTCTTTCGAGTCATTCCTTGAATTATCTTCATTTTTCAGAGGAGGAAACCGAGGCTGAGAAGCTTAAGTGCCTTGCCCAAGATCATGTAGCTTGGAACTGCAGAAGCCGGGATTTGAAACCAGCTCTGTCTCCGGCTCCAGAGCCTGCCCTGTCCGTCATGACCCTTCTTCCTCAACTGTCCAGCCCTCAGTGAGTGCCCTGTGGTGTTCCGTGTGGTTCTGCATCCCCCAACCCCATCTCAGCTATGAGGAGGCATAACAGTCCTGGTGCCTGCCAAGGGTTAATGGTGGTAGGGGCTAAGTGATTCCAGATGGGCCAGCCGGATGCCTGGGCTGGCCGGAAACCGGCAGCCGCCAGCTTCCCAGGGGAGCCACCAGCGGCCGCCCCCTCCCCTCTGTGCTGCATCTCTGGCCCCCAGCTGTCCCCTTGCCCTGGGGTCCACCAGCCTCCTCTCCCTAGCTAGAGTCCAACTCTAAGACACTTGTAGACAAAGCATCCCAAGGGCCCTCCAGCACAGTGAGTCCACCCGAGTTATGAACAGATGGGGAAACTGAGGCTCAGATAGGACATGGTAACTACCCAAGGCCACACAAGAAGTACACAGCTGGGTCTCCTGACTCCCAGACTATCTATTTTGGGTACTGGGAGTTGAAATGCCTCCTTGTTCTCCCCCACTGACCTGGTCCGAGAAGTTGGGCCAAGGCTTTAGAGGTGAATGGCCAAGGCAAATGCCTGGAGGGAAGTTGTAAAGACTGATGGAATCTTTGGGCAGGAAGGCCTGACCCTGTGGTCTTTGGAGTCCCCCGTATTCCCCTGTGACTCCATTGCCACCAAGCTGGACCAGGCCCCCTCTCTTGGGAGGCTCTCACAGCCCCCACCACATTGCCTGGAGCTCGTCTGAGAACCCTTCTCCCTCTGTGTGGTCCAGCCAGATGCTCTGCTGGGCAGTCCCCACTGGGACAAGACCAAGAAATGAGTGCAAGATAGGTTACCGTGGTTGGCATGAAATCCCAACCTCCTTCCACCCATGAACAGGAACCTGGGGTGAGGCCCAGGAGGAAAAGGGTGTAGACAGAGGGCAGGATGGAAGGAGCTCTGGGCAGAGTCAGGCTCTACCTGTGTGACCTGGAACACTTTTCTTCCCCTCTCTGGGACTCAGATTCCCCATGTGTACAGTAATGGCGGCAGGGTGACACAACCCAACTCTTATGTCCTTTTAAAATGATGCCCTTGGTCAGGGGTCTGTGACTAGAGACACGTTCTGATCCGAGGAAATGACGGTTGAAGAAGTGAGGGGGTGAGAAGCCCAAGGGCTCGCAGAGGAACCTTGGCAGACCTTAGTGCAGAGGATGGAAACGGAACGCAACAGGCACTCGAAAATGAATGAGAGATGGAGAAGGGATAACCCAAGAAGAAGGTGGGACAGGAGGGCCGGTTGACACTGCAGTGTGGGTCTTCCGCTGGGGTCAGATCACCTGTATCTGTTCCACCATGTGACTCATGAGGCCTGGTTCTGCTTTAGCTCTGCCATAGCTGTGTGAGTTTGCGAAGCTCATCTCACTCCTCTGGGCTTCAGTTCCTTGTCTATACAGTGAGGAAATAATTCTTTCTTGGTAGTCCAGGGATTTTGAGATGATGGAGGAAGATGTCTGGAAATCTGAAGTTTGCTGGATGACTTTGGGCATGTCTCTTTCTCTCTCTATGCTAATTCACCCCTGGACCTTGATTTCTTCTTATGAGAAGTGACTGATAACCTCAGAAGGGCTTTCTCTCTCTTCCAAGTCACCTTTTCTCAGAAGCCCTTTCTGATTCCCTTAAGCCTCTGCGAGTGCCCCTCTGAATGCACTCTCAACCCCCCTGCCCTCCCTTGGGCACTGTCTCTCCCACTAGCCTAGGTACCCTGAGGTCAGGGACTGTAACTTACTACTGCGTCCCAGCACCCAGCACAGCGCCTGGCACGTAGTAGGTGCTCAACAAGCTTGTTTAAGGAATGAATGTCGATGGAATCAACCGGATAGGTTATCAGAGCTCCTTTTACAGATGGGAAAGCTAAGGCACAGAGAAGGGACCCAGCCCCAGGTGCCACGGCAAGGGGAGTCTGCCACCCGAGACAGGCATCAGGTGAGTGGGGCCAGGCCACTCTTTAATAAAAGTGACTCAGCGGCTGGCTGGCGTGGGCTGCGGAATTTCTAAACATCTCCTCACATCCTGAGGGAGCAGGCTACGGGAGGGAGCAAGCAGAGGGAAAAGAGGAAGAAAAACAAGAAACTTGGGGGAAAAGAAAGAGGGAGGGGGAACTAAAATTGAAAACAGACGCACGCGTCCACCCTCCCCGCCCCCAGCCCCCTTCTCCCAGCTGAGCCAATCAGAGGCCGCCCTGCAGCCTTTCCCCCAAAGTGGGGGGGGGGGCAGGGAAGCCCACGGTGGTGTGAGCTCCTGGGGCTGCCAGCAGCCCGCAGTCCCTGCCCGCCCAGTCTGGAGCCGGAGAGAAGGAGGGACTAGGAGAGCGCCCGGGCCCCTCTGACCAGCGGCACCCGGCAGCAGCCTGTGCCGAACGATACAGACAGACAGATCCAGGGCGGCCCCTCCTGGCAGCCCTGCTCCTCCAGAGGGATGCTTTGGGAGTGAGGCCACTCCTCACCCCCGTAGCCCCTCACTCCCGCCATTCTCCCGAGGCTCTGGGAGCCTGCAAAGGTCCTCACTGCCCTCCTACCCTGCTGCTGCCCAATTTCAGGTCCAGCAAAGTCTTTCTGATAACAGGAGAGGGTAGGCAGTGAGGAGGTCTTCCTGAAGGGGGTGACAGCCCAGAGCCTGGGACCTTGCCCACACTTCAGAAGGCATCAGCAGCAAGGTAAGTGCTGGGAAGAGGAGGGAACCCCAGCCCCCTGTCCTGTCCCCTTGTCCCAGACTGCGCCTTCTTGGGTAGGTCAAAAAATGGAAAATATTTTTAACCAAACCAGATGGGAGGAGGCCAGGAGGCTGTTGGTGACATCAGGGCTGGAGGAGCCAGCTCTCTCCTGCTCAGGCTGCTTCTGGGGTCGGTGCCCCCTGCCCTCATCAAACAAATCTCAGAGGTTTCTGGGTGCCAAGCGGGGGTGGGGGGTGTCCTCCAAAGCAAAGAACCGCCTGTGGGGGGGTGGCGGGGAGAGCTGGGAGGGGTGTGAGAGGGGAATTGAGAGATGGCCAGCAGGGTACATGGCAAGAGGACCTAGCAGGGAACGGGGACCTCAGATCCACTGCCTCTGTCCCTGGGCCCAAGCCTTGCCCCTAAGAATCTGTCTGGCTCTAAGCCAGTCGGCCGCCAGGCAACCTCTCAGGATTTAAATGGATTTGCAAATTTTCCAGATTCCTAAGATGTCCTTCCAAACCCCCAGCGGCTGGGAAAGTGCGAAGGCGAGGGGGCCATGGCAGGCCCTTCCTAACAGTCACAGTCGTGCAGCCTGGGCGGGGGGTTTGGGATCTAGCAGTCAGATCTGGGGGCCCCTCTGTGAAGAAGGGGGGTTGGCTGCTGGGCCCGTTCCTCTGGTCCCAGGCAGCTGCTCAGGCCTCCTCACTGTCTCCCTCCTTCTTAAATATGAATCTGATTCCTTCTGTGAGTCTCCCTGGTAGAAGGTGCCTATAGAAAGCCCAGACTCTTAATAGTGGCTGCCACTGATCGACCCTTACTGCATGCCAGGACCATGTGGAGTGTTTTATAAGCATGATCTCATGTAACGCTCACCAGCAAATCCAGGGGCAGGGACTGATTTTATACCCAATTTACGGGTGAGGAAACTGAGGCTCACAGCAGCCACAAAACTGTACCACACTGCTCTGCTAGTAGGTGGCAGAGCTCAGGGAGATAGTAGCCTGCCTGCCCCATCACGCCAGACTTGGGCTTTGCGTTCCTGACGGTCAGATCCCAGAATTCCCGGAAGGAATCTTCATGATCCTGCCAGTGGGCATGCCCTTCCTTACCACTTTCCCTTTTCCTTCAAGGACCCTCCCTATTCTACCTCCTCCAGGCAGCCTTCCCACGTTCTTCTAGTCTTCCAAGAGCTTACTACGCCCATCATCCTGGAGCCTTGTTGCTTGACCCTCTCTTTCTGTTCGTGTTCTGTTTACACATCAGAGATTGTTTGGGCCCCAGGCTTCCCCATCTTGTGTTCTGGCCCCAGTGTTCCCAGGAGGCCAGTGGGGCTGAGAAAATGTGGTTGTGAAGGGGAGGAGGGACTGACTGAAGACCTTGTGTTCCCAAGGGTGAGCCCAGAACCCAGGCCTCTTGTCTTCCTTCAGGTGCCTTTCCAGAACCTTATGTGTGTCCGTCCCCCAGACATGTTCCTATATGTCAAGGGGGGTAGTGCCCCTGCCTCTGTGATCCCAAAGTGCACAGAGGCCTCTAACGAGATCTTCTGAAATCAGGCAGTCCTCCCCTGCCTCCAAGCATCAGGGCCCTGAATCCACAGCACTTGGGGACATGCAGACCATGTTGGTCACCATCATGGAGTGCTTACCCTGTGCTGGACACAGAGCCTGGAACCTCGTACGCCTTATAATCCCCCACAACAGGTTTTTGGAATAGGTATTACTCTTACCCCTGTTTTGTTTTGTTTTGTTTTTTAACATCTTTATTGGCGTATAATTGCTTTACAATGGTGTGTTAGTTTCTGCTGTATAACAAAGTGAATCAGCTATACCTATACATATATCCCCATATCCCCTCCCTCTTGCGTCTCCCTCCTACCTTCCCTATCCCACCCCTCTAGGTGGTCACAAAGCACAGAGCTGATCTCCCTGTGCAATGCAGCTGCTTCCCACTAGCTATCTATTTTACATTTGGTAGTGTATGTATGTCCATGCCACTCTCTCACTTCGTCCCAGCTTACCCTTTCCCCTTCTCGTGTCCTCAAGTCCATTCTCTACATCTGCGTCTTTATTCCTGTTCTGCCCTTAGGTTCTTCAGAACCTATTTTTTTAAGATTCCATATATATGTGTTAGCATACGGTATTTGTTTTTTCTTTCTGACTTACTTCACTCTGTATGACAGACTCTAGGTCCATCTACCTCACTACAAATAACTCAGTTTCGTTTCTTTTTATGGCTGAGTAATATTCCATTGTATATACGTGCCACATCTTCTTTATCCATTCATCTGTTGATGGACACTTAGGTTGCTTCCATGTCCTGGCTATTGTCTTACCCCTGTTTTGAAGACAAGAAAAACAAGGCTCAGAGAAGCTAAGTGACTTTCCCAGGGTCACACAGTTAGTTGGTAGAGTTGGTATTTAGGCCGAGGTCTACCTGAAACCAAAGACTTAACCCCCTTGCTCCCAGGGAGCTCCCCTGGTCAGAGCAGAGAGTCTCCATCCTCCCACAGAGCCTGCTCCTGGCTCCAGCACTTTCTCCAGCAGAAAGATTAGCTTCAGGCCTGACCTGCTCCCAGGTCCACCCGGGCCCTGGCTTGGTCCTGAGTGAGGAAGGAGACCATCTGGTGAGCCCCCTCCCTTCAGTGGTGATCGGGCAGCCCTCCCTCCTCTGTGGGAAGAAGAGATGAGACTTCTAATTGCCCACAGATGTGGGGCAGCGGAAAGCACCGTGGATTCAGAGTCAGGAGACCCAGCACTGGTCCTGGCTCGACTCAAATCCACTGTGTGGCCAATCTCAGGCCCCCACATCCTCTTTCTTGCTGCGTCCGCATCTGGAAGGCAGTGGGCACGGTGGGTAAACGACACCAGGTTTGGGCATCTGATGAGCCCCCCTTGGTCTGGCTGACTGTGTGACCCTGGGCTAGCGCTCTGCCTCTCTGGGCGTCAGGCCCCTCCTCTGTGCGCAGTAGGGTGGGATGCAGGGTCCACATGGTAATAATACAGATAAGGTGCTTAGCACAGTTCCTGCATCTCCTGGGGCTGGACTTAATGCCAAAGGCTAAGAGAGAGCAGCTGCTCTCCCCGCCTCCTGCACGGGACGACCTGGCTGTGAAATTGGTCTGCACCCCATGAAGTGCTATGCCCACAGAAGGGAAGGGACCTGGGCACCACGGGTGTGCTAAAGGCTCAACTCTATCCTCCAGGCACAGTCTGGCTCTGAGACCAGCTGCCTTCTAGGTTGAAGGAGGGGACTCTGGAGGGGACTCTGGGTGCTTTGCTCAGGACAGGCTACTGAGTGGTGAGGAGGGAGGAAGGAATGAGAGAGGCCCCAGACATTCCTTAAATGTACCCCCTCACCCCATTTCTTGCACGTGGTTCAGAACCCTGCAGGCAGTGGACCCTTGGAAGGGGGAGATCTTCCTGCCCTGTTTTCCACAGCTCCCGCAACCCTCCACCATGTCTCCCCAGCATCAGAGCTTGTAACGCCTCAACTGGGAAGCCGTGTGTGCAGGATGACAGAACTGGGACCAGCCCTCTCTGAGCGCTTTCGTTGTGCTTTACATCCATTACCAGCAAGTCCACTGCTGTATTCCTTAGCGCTTGGAACAGGCCTGGCATTCAGCGAGTGCTTACTAAATACTCGCTGAACTAATTTAATCACCGCACACCACCTCGAGGAGTGGGTATAAACTCTCCATTTTACAGATGAAGAAATGCCCAGAGAGGTTAAGGGGTTAAGTCAGTTGCCCAAAGTCCCACAGCCAGGATGCGATGGAGCCAGGATTTAAACCGGGTGTTTTTGACTCCAGAGTCCACGATTGAGAGGCTGGGTGGGTTCTGGATCTCAGCTGTGGCGCCCCTCAGAGCTCCAGAGGTGGTCATCAGACCCAGGAATCCATCCTGTGCGACTGTGGGTGAGTCAGTCCCTCTCTGGGTCTCAGTTTTCCCATCAGTAAAACAAGGAGTTTGAACAAGATGATCTCTGAGCTCCTTCCAGCCCTAAAACAATTCCAGGATCCCAAGCCACACCAGCCCAGATGGGCAGTTGCACAAGCTCTGTTGTGTACTCAGGGATCATGCATATTTAACTTCACAGTGAAAGGGTTTTTTCTTACCCTTTTTCTACACATTACAGAAAGTGGTCAGAATCGATGACCTCTAATGGAAAACGGTACCCTATAACAAGGAGGAGGGACCTTCTGACAGTCAGAGCGGCCTGGTAATGCACTCAGTTTCTTGGGGAGCTCTGAGGTCGTGATTTCCCAGTGCCCACAGCCCTATTTTCCTGGGATACTGAGGAAGGAGGGTCAGGAGGACTGCCTGTGAGGGGGTATGTGTGGATGCTGTGACCCTTTGCTGATTTTCGGACTTCATAGGCTCTGATTTCAAAAGGAAGCAAGGCTTTGGCGCATGGTAGATGAATGAATGATGGGCTCCAGAGGCAAGGGAATGGATGCAGAGACCCACCTCTAATGGGAGGAGTGTGGAATTCACACACTGTTGCTTCCAGTGTAGAAGCCCCTCCCAAGACTTCAGGCCCAGAGCCCTCAGGCAAAAGAGCTTCCTGAACCCCCCAGGCCGTGACCCCAGGATCCGCCTTTCCCAGATGCTTTCTGGGACGCCCCAGCCCAGCCTAGTGCAGGAGGTTGAAAATCAAAGTGTATTGCTTTAACTGCATTAGTACCCTCTCTTCTCCTCGCTTCAGATCAGAGCTATTTAATGTCTCAGGTGTCCAGAACCTTTCATCTGCCAGAGGTACCAGCTCCTCTGCCCTGTGATGGAAAGGGTTGTCGCTTGGGAGGTAGGGGCAGCAGGGCCAGGCCGTTCAGATGGTTCCTGAAGGTCAGAAGTGAAGAGGATTATGGGGATCACTGTGTTCAACTTCCTTACTATATGCACGGGAAACTGAGGTCCAGAGAAGAGGAGGGACGTGCCTCAGGTCCTACAGGTTGTCAGTGATAGCACTGAGCCCAGGACCCGGGCTGCAGGTCTGGACTTTCCTCT